GGTGGGGGAGGGCTTGCTTGCATTCCTCCGTCCATTCAAACGCGACCTCCTTTCTTAGCAGTTTGAAGAATGGGAGGGCGTGTTGGATGGATTTGGCGACGAAACGGGACAACGACACGAGCATCCCATTGAGGGACTGTATCGATTTCTTCATGCTCGGCGTCGCGATCTCGGAGAAGGCCCGACACTTGTCCGGGTTTGCTTTGATCCATTGTTTGGTCAGGTAAAATCCGAGGAACTTCCCTGCGCGTACCCCAAAGGTGCACTTCTCCGGGTTGAACTGCATCCTACACTTCCTCGCTGTCTCGAAGAATTTCTTGAGGTGCGTTGTGTGGTCGACCTCTGTGCAGGATTTGACGATCATATCGTCCATGTAGACCTCGAGCATGTCGCCTATCTCTCCCCGGAAGACTTTGTTCATCATCCGTTGGTAGGTGGCGTCAGCGTTTTTTAGGCCGAAGGGCATTACGTTGTAGTAGTAATTGCCCGACTCGGTCATAAACACTGTGTTCTGCTTGTCAGTCTCGGCCATGGGGATCTGGTTGTACCCCGAGTAGGCGTCCATGAAGGATAGTAGTTTGAAACCCGCCGAGTTGTCAACGAGTTTGTCGATGTTGGGGAGGGGATAGGCGTCCTTTCGACAGGCCCGGTTGAGATTGGTGTAATCAATGCACATCCTCCATTTTATATTAGATTTCTTTACAAGTACAATGTTGGAAAGCCAGGTTGAATACCGGGCTTCCGAAATAAAATTTGCCTCTAGAAGGTCTTTTAAAGCTTTTTCAGCTGCCGCCGCCTCTAGGAGGTCTTTATGTGGATGACATCCTCATATCCAGCAACAGTTTTGAAGATGTTATGAAGGTGACAGATGAAATCAATAAGAAGTTCCACGTGAAGGATTTGGAAGTTGCCTCCGGAACTTTTGGGATTGACATTCAGAGAGATAGAAAGCAGTCGAGATTATGTTTATCTCAAGAGATATACCTGAAGAAGATTCTCGACATGTTTGGTATGTCGAACTCAAAACTTGTTGTAATACCGACTAATCTTCCATACAAGCTGAGTACGACTCAAAGTTCTAGTACTAAATTCGAAAGAGCCTATATGAATAGCATTTCATATGCTAGTATAGTAGGTTCTTTGATGTATGTTATGGTATGTACGAGGTCAAACATAGCGTACGACAAAAGCCTTGTAAGCAGGTATATGGCCAATCCTGGGAAGGAGCACTGGCAAGTATTAAAGCGGATTCTTATATACATCAGTGGGTCTTGGAGTAGAGTCCTAATTTATCGTGGAGCTTATGGTGATGATAGCAAAGTCAAAATCGATGAATTTTCCGACTCTGATTATGCAGGCTGTATGAATTCTAGAAAATCTATTTCTAGATATGTATTCATTATGTTTGAGACAATAATTATTTGGGAAGCAACACTTCATAAGGTTTTTAAATTATCAACCACTGAAGCATAATATATCACCTTCACTGAAGTTGTGAAATAAGCATTATGGCTTGAAGGTTTTGCTAAGGAGCTGAAACTTCAAGGTAGAGTTATCACTGTTAAATGTGATAGTCAATGTGCAATACACATGTCAAAAAATTCATCATATCATGAGCAAACCAAACACATCGATGTGAGGTTGCATTTTGTCAAAGAGATAATCGAGCGTGGAGAAGTCCAAGTGTTGAAGGTTTCGACTGATGAGGATGCTGCTGATATGCTCACCAAGACATTGCCAAGTAGCAAGTTTTTTCACTGTTTATAGTTGATAAAGCTGCATGATGAAAGCTAGTTTGTTCCCTTGTTAATGTAGAGTTTGTTCCAAGGTGGAAATTTGTGGTATTTGGATCGAACTCTGGTGTCGACAAGGCTAGCTTCATGGTTCGACAGGAGTTGTGCATGCTGTAGTCGAAGTATGTTCAAGCATGTTGTCAAAATATGTTAGCTTTGTGCTTAAGTTAGCATGTCAAATTGGGTCTTCCTTGTAAGCTCAATTGTTAAGTTAGCTTGTAACCTAAGTTGGCTTAGTAGTTTATGAATAGACTAGTTCTCTCAGGTTGTTGAGAGAGATTAATTATTGGTACTCAGTTGTAATCTTTGAACCCTTATTGATCAAGTGAATAGTAAAACAGTTTTAACCAATTATTATTATTCTTTTTCCTTCTTCTCCCTCTTTCATAAAACCTAACAGGATTTCTTGGATTTGTTCAAGAAACTCAATCTTTATCTCATAACTTTGTTATGTTATTGACGACATCGTTTTATAACACACATAAATTGTAATTAAAAATAACATATTTTTTTCATAATAAAATCAACAATTAAACTAAATATTAATTATTTTAAGAATAATTATGATGTTTGATCATTTTTATTTAATTTGTATTTAAAAATAAATAAATAATAATTCTTATAAATCTGATGTTTTAAGAGAAAGAAGTATAAATAAGTAATAAATTTATTAAACATAAAGATAATAAATTAAATTTAATAAGTAAGGGCGATTTGGGCACGGGAAGGGTACCTGTTTCTCCTGCCTTATAATTCAAAATCGGATTTTCCGCACACTAGTTATGCCCCCAATTAAATCATTTTTCCCGTTAAATTCAGGACGAGGGCAGTTGGGTATGATCGGAGCCGAATTTATTTGTTATGATCTTATATAAATAGGAATGTCAATTTGTATCTGTTAACGGGAATTTCTATAGAGATTATCTGTTTGGAGCTCAGAAGTCGAGGTTTTTTTCCCTGTGGAGACAGGAATTGAGGGAAAAATTCTCCCGATGATGCTTTAGAGCGGGAATCGGACAAGTACCCTCTACCCCGTGGATTCCTCGAACTTGGCCATACTATATAACTTTTATATATATTATATTATATTATATAAAACTATATAATTTTGCATGTTTATTTTATAAAAAAAATAGTTATTATATTAGAAAATGAAGAGTCATAAGTGGATATTTTTTTGTTTTATTGTATAATGTAAAGTTTTACTATCTAATTACATAATCTTAGAAAAGTGCACCCAATACATACAATTTACACACCATTTCTTCTTCTTCTTTTCTCAATTTTCTTTGTCTCCTCCATTTCCACATTTCCTCTGTTCTCATCATCATCAAAACAACTACTTTCTTTTGTTTATTGTGTTTATGGTAATTTCTCTTCAACCTCATTATACTTCGATTAGTAATTAGATTTTTATTGAATTAATAAGTGGTTATGTTTTCGTAACTGCAAGTGCTTTTGCATTTTTTATGTTACTGATGTAATATGTGTTTTTATTTTAAAATGGCAAAACATTTTCCTTTTTTTAAAAAGGGGAAAAACTAAATATTAGTGTCATAAGTTTTGATCAAAAGTATATAAATCATTTTATGATTTGATCTCCGTGGGTCTCCGATCATCTGTGGGATATGTGGGGATGAGGATGGAGAAAAATATTCTTCGTGGCGGAGATCGGGAATGAGAATGAAAAAAATACTAGGGAGCAATACGGGGAGTGGAGAAACATCCTCCGCATATTCTCTACTTTGTTGACATCCCTATATATAAATGACTCACCACATGTTTGTAATAACACTTAAGTAGATAAAATAAAATATAAAAAAAAAAATTAATAAATAAAACAAAATCTATTTTCACTCTAATTTTATTTATTCTCTTTATGGTCATTGTTTGTTTGTTAAATTATCCAACAGAATGGAGGCCTCTTTATTTCAGTTTTTTTTAATGATTTTGTTAGTATACCCTATTTTTTATTTTTATTTTAAATCAAATGAAAAATTATTAAAACAATTTATTGTAAAAAAATAATTTTAAGTAATTCATTTTGTTGCTTAAAAAAATTGGATATCAAATTTAAAAAATATATATAAAAATATTTTTTTTATTTCGAATGTCATTTCATAAAAATTATTTTAAAAATATTTTTTTTATTAAAATTATTTGACATACATTATGTTAAAATCTTTAATAATAATTGTTTAAGTCATTGAGTTTCAAAATTACTTTTTTTAGTTATAAAAAATAAACTTTAAATAATTTCTAATACTTTTAAAAAAATTCATAAAAATCATTTGTAAAATTACAACAACAAAAAAAACTATGATTAACAACACGGAATATAATCTAAAATTATTTCAACGCAACTATATAATAATTGTTATTATCATGGTATTGTTTAAAACCATGTAGATGCGTTTAATTTCCTAAAAAATTTGAGATTCGACATAGACAACTTTTTTGTTATCCTGTTTAATACACAAATTTATCAGGGACAAGACAAAATATATGACAAAAGACAGTTAAAAAATATGAATTTTTGTCTTTCACTAACTCATGGGACAACCTTTTGTCTTAAACACAAATTATCAGAAAATATCAAAATATAATTTTTAATCTCTATATTTAATATTTTGATTTATAAAAATAATATTAATATTTTATTTATTAATAAAATATATTATAGTAAAATTATATTATTTTTGTCTGGTGTATAGACGTATCAAATAAAATTGAGTAATTTTTTTTCTCTACATCACTTTTCTCTTTCTCATTATTAACATTTTGATTCATGAATATCAATATTTTATATATTAATAAAAATATTATAATAAAAACTATATTATTTAGTGTATAGATATATCAAATAAAATAGACAAAAAAAACTCTGACTATCAAATGAGTACAAAATAAAAAGTTGTCTTGTACTATTTTGTACAATCTTTTTTTCAAGTCAAATACATCCTTAAACATTTTTTAACTTTCTTTTTTTGAGTTTTGCTTTTACTAAATGGGACGAATAAACAGATAATTTGAACTTCACCAAAAAGAAAAGAGAACACTATCACGAAAACAACTCAAATTCAACAATGCAAGTGTATGCATTCATATGGATTATGGATACATTCACCAATCATCATCTTGTATACACTGCAAAACTAATATCAAGAGTTCATCTACTCGTGTTATTATGTACAAAATCCCTTCTGTTCAGAGAGAATTGATAGCAGGATTTGATTCTAACAAAATATTCTTTCTAATAAAATCACTGCTGTTTGAAAAACAGGCAGGAGGATACACATAACCTTGAGCAGAACCATGAGCTTGCCAGCAGTAAGATGTCGTATTTTCTCCATAGTATGATGGAAGAAAAATGTCCTCCAAGTATAATCCTTCACACGGAGAGTCGTCGCTGCAAGCAAACTTAATGGCTTCTTCGGTGGCTGAAGTTCCTCGAATATTAATAAAGGATATGTTCTCCACTTGAACAGAGGATGTCTGCATCACGATGCGGAACATTACATAATTTGGTCATCACCTCAAAAAAAATAACTACAAAAAAAGTTCTTAAAATTCAATACCTGATTCTTGCATGGATGTCGCGAATCACAGTAGTATTGATTTATTATTATTGGATTGGACACATTTTCCATCAAGATATTCTGGAATGTGATCTTGGAGGCAAAACCACTTCCACCCTAATGAAATTTACTCGACTCAACCGATTTGCACATCACTGAATCACATATCATGAGAATGAAAATGTTACAGTTACCGGGAAACTTACCTGCCATGTTTTGATTCTCACACCATTATGAGTGTTGTAAAGAAAAACTCCATCAACTTTGACATCGTGAATCTTCTCCCATACCTTTGATTTTCCCAAGCTACCAATGCTGAAAAAAGGTTCTAGTATCGGTTAAGAACTAGACTACTTAGTGTCCTAATGAACTAAAACTGAATACTACTTTCACCTTATGCCATGGCCTGGACCACAGGAAATATTTTTGATCTTGACCCGTGAAGAATTTCGGACTATGGAGATGCAGTCATCACCTGAAATGGGACGGACATAATACAGTGAAAATATTGTATTTTGACACTTTACTTGATCATAAAGTTTATTCTGGAATTTATATAAGACATATACGAAACTAATCAATGTTCTTTTCATCTGATTTTATACATGATTTACACGTTTGAATGGTGTTTCACAGTTACATTATTGCTGGTTTATTATTCAAGGTTGAGGTTAACTTAACACACCTGTTCTAATTACACTTTCCTTAATCTCAACACCCTTTGTTGCACTGATGTGGATTCCATCTGTATTAGGGCTGGAAGCAGGTGCCAATACTTTGAGATGGGATGCATGAACGCGCATACAGCTGGTAAATGCAATATGCATTTTTTGGCTATTTATCAGCACAAGGTGTCTGACTTTCAGGCTCTTGCATCTATGAAAAGTCAGAGCCTGCAGTGTAAATGTTGTTTCATATTTCAGCTAATAAAGGCATAACTAATGTATCAACAAATCAGGGAAATGAACTGTTTTGCTCCATATTTTGAAGCGCCACTAACCGTTGGAGCCGGAAGACATGGCTGCAAAAGAAGATTTTGAAATCATCATCACTTAGTTAAATTGATGAATAACTTCAACTATACATGATATTAAGCTTGTGAGATAGCAATACATTTGTTTTGTTAATCTTGCAAGATATGGACCACCATTCCTGTCCCATTCCATCTATTCTCCCTCCACCGTTTACAGAAAGGTGATTCACCCCGTGGAAGTAAATCCATTTGCGTCTATTTAAGCCATGCCATGCCTCGGGATCTCGCGGTGCAACTATTGTTCCTGAGATCTATAAGCATTTTCCATAAGACACATTTCATTCACGGATTAAAAGATGCATACGATAGAATCTTGGTGCTTACCCTCAAAGTGATCTTAGATCGACACGGTCCACTAAAGTCAATTGGATGCACAAGAAAAGTTTTCCCAGGTGGAAAAACAACAGTTATATATCCAGAGAGAGAACATGCGATTTTCCATACCTCCAAGAAGGCCTGAAAAGATGGGGAAAAAAATGTTTCTTTACTGTAAAAGGACTACTGCATTTCACTTTCAATCAATAGAACAATACAATTAGGCATGAAAGTGAAAAACTGGGCACAAGCTTGATTAGTGGCCAGTGGCCACCCTAACAAGAGTATGAGCTACCATGTTTGGTTGTCTCTTTACAAAACGAACATTAAAATTCTGAAAATGAGAGGTAACGTAATGGCTAGAATGAGAAATAATAACCCCTGCTTCAGATTCATTAACTTGTGAAGAATGAAAATTGTCCGCTACCATTTTTTAATACAACTCAAAGACATTACTATTCCAATGTAGCTCAAGAGCCCATTGAAATTCCCACAATAGACCATATGTCTCCCCTTCAAATACTTGCAAATCTGGAGATAACCAATCCGTTTTAGCCAAAATGAAAGCACCATTGACATACCGTGCTACTATGCCTATACGAACGCTTTCCTGATTCAAGTTGAAACCAGCATCAACATCCATTTTTATCATTACTGCAGGAGGTTTCATCCATGCCACCTGGCCATCATGGTGACCATGCCGTGTTTGTTTCATCCACACTCTACAAAAGATTTCCATACTTGTTTGTTTCTACTACACGAAACGCTATATGTAACCATTGACGTTTAGTAATTTAATGAGAATTCAGCTCTGCCTCCAAGCCAAAAAAAAACTTTTAAAATTCCACGGTACATGATACGCTTCTCCACAATGTTACGGCTACATGTCAGGAAAACAAATTAAGGAGTTTCTATATTTGTTCCACAATGAGCACAGGTGAAAGGACATATAACACCTTTGGTTCTTAATCTGTCTCTAGTGGGCAAAACATTTTTGCCAGCTCACCATAAGAAGGGTTTGACTCTTAGAAAAACATGCAACTTCCAAAATAATAACCAGTTTCCTCCTCTTCCATTTACCAGCATCTGCCATGTGATTCGCCTCTTTGCTCGGCCTCTAATCACACTTGTCACAAGGAACCAATTCCGCTCTCTTCTAGCATCAAGTCACTCGCTCCCAATCAAGATTCCATCCCAAGAGGGATTTAAGATCCATCATCACCAATTAAATATTGTGTTTGTTTGCAGTTGCAAATGAAGATTCTAAAATTTCCTAATCCTACCTAGTTCTTTGAGACAAACTATCAAACACTCAGTGGTTACCCCTAAGGGTCACAAAGCTATCAAATGCCCTAAACATTTTATAAGCTAAGAATCTCAACTCAATAATACTATAAAAGAAACATTATGATGAATTTATAAGTGTACAACAGTAACATTTTGTGGATGATTTAAAAAATTGAAACAAGAGCATGATGAAAGGGAAAGAACCTGTGTGTCATTATGAAAGCCATCACCTTTAGCACCAAAATCAATAATGGAAAGAACCCTTCTGGGTTTGGATCTGATTCGGGCTGACCCGGAATGTGGGAGTCGGATAACAGGATCAAACCCTTGTGAAGTACTAGCAAGTAAATTTAATTGAATGAAGATAATTACAGTGAAATATATAGAAATAGAAGATTTCATTCTTATCCTTCAAAGTTGATTCTTCAATAACAACAACACATTCATTGAAGAGTATCTCTTCTTCAATGATAAAGAACAGACAGACAGTACCTGCTGAGTTGAGTGTTGGAATCTTTCAAGAGTTTGTTTCGCTGATTGTTTCCTGTTTACTAAGAATAGTTTGTTAAGATTGCATTACATGAAAATTAACCAACAAATCTATATAAGGTTAGAAAAACACCACCACATAAAAGTAACACAGACATAGGAGACTTGTCTTATGTTTATTATTTTTTTAATGAAACCTCATATATAATTAATAAGGGAGGTTGTGTCTTTAGCCTATTAGAGGGTTTGATGGGAATGTTGAAAGTCGGTGATGATTTTGAAATCTTTTAAAGAGGAATATGAGGTGGTGGAAGATTTTGTTCCAGTCAAGATAATTTGAGATTTTATCTTGCCAATGATGTGCATAATGGCTGGAGTTTTGTTTCTAAATCTTTCCACATTCCTAGCTTCCCACATATTATTTTTGATGTATGTGATAGTAGATTTAAGAATCAAAGAACATTGTCTCGACCTGTTGAGTGTACAACAAGTCCATCGATTTTTAAGTGTGTTTGAAGGATTAGGTATCTTGATAGTGTTGTAGAACCAAACTCACACTTTCTTGGCAAATGGGCTATCAAATCATAAATGATGAGATGTTTTTTCCGTCTTTTTACAAAGACTGTATCTAGTAGTTGTAGCGTATGGGTTATAAGATAGTGTTGTAGTAAATTATGTCGAAGTCAAAGAGTTAGTGTAGCTGTCAAAATATGTTAGCTTGTTATTTAAGTATGCATGTCGAATTGGGTTAGTCTATTTGCCCAATTGTTTAATATTTTAGTTGAAAGTTAGGGTTTATTTTTCTCTTATAAATAGCATATTAGTCATCATTTCTCCATTAATCTCCGATAATCCTAATCGGAGGGAGAAAGTGGTGTGATTGAGATTCAATTGTAAATAGTGTTCCTTAATGTGTAATTGAAGAATCCAGTTTTTTAATCATTTTAAATTGTCTTTCTCTTCTCTTCTCTCTTTTTCTTTTACTTTGTAGTTTTCTTTTTAATCAAGAAATCGATCATACTCTATTTTCTAAGCATCGCTTTCACAACAAATTGGTGCGATGAGTGTGGAGGAGAAGATGTTGTCAACAAAGTATGAGATTGAGAAATTCACCTATGTGAATGATTTTGGTTTATGGCGCTTAAAGGTACAAGTCTTACTAGTTCAGCGGAGTTTGTTAGAAGCGTTGAAAGGATCAGAGAAGATGGATGTTGCCTTAACAGGGAAGTAGAAGACGACGATGATCGAGAAAGCCTATAATGACATCATATTTATGCCTTGACGATAAGGTTCTTTGGCAAGACTTGAAGGATAAGACGGCAGCGGGTGTGTGGAGCAAACTCGAGGATTTATATATGATCAAATCCTTGGTCAATCGACTCTACCTAGAGCAAGCTTTGTATTCATTCAAGACCGGTGAAGACAAAGTGTTGGCTAAGCAGCTGGATATGTTCAACAAGTTGATTATTGATCTTGAAAATATTGAGGTCGAGATTGATGATGAAGATCAAGTGTTGATGTTGTTGTGTGTTTTACCAAGATCTCGTGATCATTTCAAATAAGCTCTCTTGTATGAAAGAGATTCGCTGACCTTTAAAGAAGTTCAATTAGCCTTGTACTCTAAGAATTTGAATGAACGAATGGATCACAAGTCATCTTCTATTGATGAAGGTTTATCCGTTAAGGGAAATTCTTAAGGAAAGATTGTAGATTTGAGAAGAAAAAAGGATAAAGTTCTACATAATTCTTATGGCGGTTGTCATATCCCAAATTTTACCCTTTAGATGTTATCGACATTTGCATGAGCATCATAGGTCGATCATCCTTGCATCACTAACCATGTCATCAAGCTTTGTTTGTTTTGTTTATTTTTGTTGAAATTAGGGTTTTGCGGAGAAGAAAATAAAGCTCTGATTAATTAAGATTTGGATAGGGGATCAACCAAACAAGTCCCCACATATTTCATGGGTTCATAAGAGGTCATTTGATCCAAAGAAATTCAATTCAAAAGATTCCTAAGTGGAAAGGAGAGGTATTGACTTCATCTGATTCAAAAAGTCTACTGAGGTAACACAAAAGTCAAACATTGAGTTTTGAAGTTAAACAAGACTTCACAAGTCTTATTCCATGGTCTCATATGAATGAATCAAGGAAGATCAAGTTAGAATCATAAAATCAAGAGTTTGATGAAATTAGTTTGTTGAAAAATTCTAAGTGTGGAAATCAAGAATTTTAGTCATCTTGCAAGAGTCATATCTCACTCATCCATGAGTCAATTGGAGCAAACCAATGATATTTATAAATAAGACATCACAAACAACAAGTTTGTAGAAGAAATCATGTCCAAAAGATGAATGGATTTGGAGTTATATTGATTCAAAGTTGGGAAAAACTTGATTTGGAAATTCCATACTTAGAACATTTTCTAAGTTATAAATTTTAGCTTGTTGGAGTGATTTTCATGGCCAAATTCAAGAGGGTTCCAAGTTTAATTTGACTTTTTCATCAACATGAAAGTTGTAGATAAAATTCTTAGTTTTCTTTTAATATCAATAAATCCTCAAAAGCATCTCTAAAACTCAAGTTATGGTGCTTTGAAGTTAGGGTTGCAAAGTTGTTAAATTTGACAATTCTATTTTCAGCATTTTGAAGGCAACTTCATGTGGTTTTTTCTCAAAGTTCCAAGCCTCAGTTCAAAATTCCTCAAACATGAGACTTGTTCCTTGTTCTCCAAGATTTCCAAGCATACCAAGAAATCTACATTTGGATTAATAAATCACAAGTTATGATGCTCTAAAGTGAGGAAGTTTCAAGGTTTGGATTTGGTAACTTAGAAAATTATGCTAAGTCTTTTTGAACAACTATTTTTTACCAAACTTCCACGCCAATTTTCATATGTTTCTAATTCTCAATTAAATTTTCTTTAAACATCAAAGTTGTTTCCCATGATCTCAGCTTTCCATTGATATCAAGTTTGTAAGCATCGGTGACTTGAGCATAAAGTTATGGTGGGATCAAGTTGCCAAAATATTTACAAAAGAGGGCCTCATTCCAGACGGCTTCAATCTCCACACAACCATTGTTGATCCCTTCTTCCATCACTCATTTGACTCTCCTGTTCCCTTAACACAATAACCAAATCATCTTCTTGAACTATCGAAACAACTTTCCCTAGATTCATTCACATAAAAACTACCATCATCCGCCTCTCACCAACCATCACCAATTTCGAATCACCGCCTTCCTCTATCATCACCACCGCGCCATCAAAAACCCTCTGTAATAGAGAAAACGAGACAAGAGAGTGAGACTGAGAAATAGAGGCACCACACGAGAAAAAGTTGTTGTGACAAGTGGAATAACAAGAAAGGATAAAGCAAAATCGTGAGTACGGAGAAGGAGAGATTCGTGAGATTTTCTTACCCTTTCTCATTATCCATTTTATTTTTGGCTGCAACCCCTTTCTCTTGGGCTTCATCGACATATACATCATGCACGCTCCTTTTGTTCTCCCACCCACCGTGTTTGTTATTGGGCTTCCTAGCCCATTTGCTGTTATCTTAACATCATTCACATTATTTCTACATATACCCCTTGGTTCTTTAATTAAATTAAGTTTTAGTAAATTAACTTTCAATTAGGATTTATTTTAGTTTTTTTTAGAAGTTAGGTAGTTAGTTTTTTATTAGAAACTAATCTAATTTAGTCACTTAGTTTTATTAGAATTAGTTTGTTTAGTTTTAATTAGATTTTTAATTAGGATTTGTTAATTAGTTTTTAATTAGAGTTTAATCTAGTTTGTTAATTAGTTTTAGGTGGATTTCAGTTTAATTAGAATTTTATTAATTAGATTTTTTTTAGTTAATTCTCAAATTAATTATGACATTTTTGTGTTTTCATTCTTGATATTTAATTTTGAATTTAATTCTTGTTACTTTTGGCTATGATTAAATCCTGGTTTAGATTGTTCTATCCTTCGAGCTTTTTATTTACTTAAGCATTTGCATCGTACATATTGCTATTGGTACTTGAGTTCCTCCCTCCATCCCTATTATTATTTCTCTAAGATTCCAAAGGAAAGGAACCCCATGTGTTGACTTGTAAGTCATGTTGGTTAGTTTTGTCCATCTTTCCCTCGAGATCTTGTGAGAGTCTTGCCTGTTGTAACCTAGTTTAGGTTTGGAGTCGTCGCACTCCGAGTAAGTATCATGGTTATGAATACTTATTTCCCCTAGGAACCTTGACCATAATCAAGAATTCCTCAATCCTAAATGGCCGAACTACGGAGGCTCTGATTCCATCCTAGTCAGGATACGTAGGCACAAGATGCGATATCTTGTCGACCTCTCTAACTTCTAACCACTAACGACTAACTCTTATCTTCCTCTTTTTAGTTTGGTTAGAACTAATTGGTTTTTCAACTTAGATTTAGGTAGAGTTGGTAAACTTTATGTGAGTATCATGGTTATGGATACTTACTTTTCCCTTTGACTTTGGTTAAAGTCAACCCTATTTAGGTTAATTTTCAACTTAGATTTAGAGAGTTGGTCAACTCTATGTAAGCATCATGGTTATGGATACATATCTCCCCTTTGGAACCATGATCATTATCAAGAGTTCCCCATCCCTAGTTAGGTGAACTACGGTTGTTCTGATTCCATCCTAGTTAGGATACGTGGGCACGAGATGCGATGTCTTGGCGAGCATACTTAGTGTATATACCTTAGGTCTTTACCTTAGCACATTTCCCTTAGCAAGCAACTTTAACATAACACAGATACTAACAAGAGGTTCTTGTAGAGTACTACAGATACTTAGGATGCTAACACCTTTCCTAGGTATAACCAACCCCCAAACCTTAGATCTCTTAGCTCCATTGTTACATAGTGCACTTAGGGTTTTCTTCGATCTTT